AGTCACGTGACCTCGCTGACGCAACACTATTTATGCACAAAATTACTTGTGGGCCTATTATGTTATTGGTTACAGGACTTCTAGTATGAATGTTGCAAAAAAAAAACAATAAGCTCAAGTATTGTGCCAAAAATCCTCATGAAATTTCTGTTTGTTTGAAGTTAAACACAAAGCTACCCAATGGGCTACTATGCCCTGCCCACCAAGGATATCGAAACCCGGTTTATAGCGTTGTAAGTCCGCAGAAATACCACTGTGTTATTAAAATTTCTAGTGCTCTATTGACATATTGCTATATATATATATTGTTCATAATCACTAATACATTAAATAAATATCGCATGTTCTATCTTGGTATATTATATGTTATAGGAGTGGGGTATCAAAATTTCAAAACAGGGTATGATTTTAGTAATTTTAAAGCACCCAACCATGCATGTACGTTTAACTGAACAATTTGTTTAGTTGTTTGTTTATTGGAAGTTAAGCACAAAGCTACACCATGAGCCATCTGTGCTCTGCCCACCACGGGTATCGAAATCCGGTTTCTAGCGTTATAAGTCAGCAGACATTCCGCTGTGCCACTGGGGGACTTAAATGAACAAAGTAAAAAGGAAGTGTTTGTGTTGATGACTTAATGCAAATACTCTGGAAGATATTTGAGAGGAGTTAAAAGATTGTATTTTTAACATGAATGTTTCGGTAAATGCAATAAAATAAAGAAGAGCGATTATGTTTTTATTTATATAAATGAGCGAAGAAAACTGCATAAATGAATCGTTAAATTATTGAACAACCGGGGCTGGGTGTTGCCGTGTGGTTAGCCTGCCGAATAATGAATCAGAAAGTCCACGATTCTCAGTTGAATATTAAATGCATGACTCTGCGCACACAACCCTTTTGTAGCTATGCGCAAAACTATGATTTGACCGTTTAGCTTAAATGATGCTTCACTTCAGTAAAATAATTGATTACAAGTATTTTAATTTTTCAATAAAGTTTTTGATTTAAAAAAAGGAGACTTAACTAAAGAGAAATGCGTATTCTAGACGAAACAAGCATTATCAGTATTTTAGAATGTTCTCCGAGTAGACTTGATCGACTCACACAGATTTTTATACTTCTACATATTTCGAAATATTTTTTTTTGTTCGACAAAAATATCTGAGAACAGAAGTGCCATGTGAAAATGTAACATTTCATCTCTCTCCGTTTCTGCGCCTTACACAATCGACACACGCAACCAGGTCTATTTCGGTTGTTCCTCACAGATGTTACTGATTGCACGTTGTTGATACGTGCACCCTCAACTGAGAAGATTCTGTGATAATGATTTGTTGTTTTGCTTGTTGCACCCCGTTTTAGACTAGGCTTTTTGCTAAATACAAAACCACAAGTTGGGCTAGGTTATTGCCTAAAGGATCAGTGTTGGTCTTTGCTCTTTTCTACTTCCATTAACGATATTGATAGTGACCAAATGGTCCCTTGTTGTCCATGTGCTTGTAACACACACAACCTTCGTCGAAACATCATTTAAGTAATATCAATGCTATTATATTTTCTTACTGGAAACCTGTATAAGGTCAGTAAAGAAAGATTTAGAAAAAGTATCGCCAGTTTTACCGTGATATATTATCGCACTAACTTACCGATCTCTGTATGTATCATGATTCGCCATTACATTTATGTACCATAGGGATTCATACTTAATAGATATCACTAGTATATTAATAGGATAGATAAGTTTCTGTTCATGAGGCGTCTTAGGTAGTACGTGCACATATTTGTTTTACTGAATTTTCTCGCAAAGCTACTCTACGTGCGCAAGCCGTCCCAAATTTTGAAGTGATAGACTAAAGGGAAGAGAGCTAGTCAACACCACCCACTCTTGAACTACTATTTTACCAACAAATAGTGGAATTGACCGTTATATTATATCGCCTACACGGTTGGAAGAACATGTTCTGTAATGGGATTCAAACCCGCGCGCTTAAAAATATATAGACAATGTTTATATTACTGTAATTGCATATTAATCGTAATTATTTTATACATAATTGATTACGTTTTGTTTGTTTGAAGTTAAGCACAAAGCTACACCATGGGCTATACGTGCTCTGCCCACCACGCGTATCAAAACCCGGTTTCTAACACGTTGTAAGTCCACAGACATACCGCTGTGCCACTGGGGGGGGGGGGGCAATTACGTGTTATTCTTGCGAAAGTAATAATAATAAGCAATTTTAAAATAAAAACTATCAATAAAACAATTAATAAATTGTTTATATCAGTATATATTTTTTGTTTTCTATAAGAATTCATTGAGGCATATTTACGCGTTTTTATAATGCATGCAACAAATTTCATTTTACCTGTAAATAAATACGAGGTCACTACCCAGTGACCAAACAGTAGAAGATTTGTTGGTAACTTTATACATGTTACAACTGATTTATTTCATTGGATCTGCTGCATCAAATGTTAAACCAAACGTGCATTTGACAAAGACAATTTAAATCATCAGCGGGAAAATTCTCTTAGTCAAGATTAATATGGTGATGAACAAAGTGAAAATTAATATAAATACAGGTTAAGTAGTTAGCACCTAAGAGTCACCTACAAAAGTTGTAATGTAACAACCAATCTACAAACTGATGAGACCAAATTTGGGGGATTAAGTGGAATATAGAGAGGTGTCGCTGTTTCTGGAATTCAAGTTAGAACAACAAAAAAAAAGTACTCCAATAAGGAGTTCGACTGGTTTATCTCAATAAATCACACTTTACTGCCACATTAACTCATCTTTCCATAGTTTATGGCCATGAAGATGCAAAGTTTAACGGGGTTGGATGGACAATGTTCCTCTTGGGCGAAGCAGTGTAAGTTTTCATTTTGGTTTGTTAAGTACAAAAAAACGTTATTAATACTAGATCCTGCCTGGTCTAGATCTCATGTTCCATGCCAGTAATGCTGTTCTGGTGCTACTGCTATATCATCCTTTACAAACCAGACTAGCTCCTGCAACCGACTTATTTGTCTACGATTCCAAGCAGTGATGACAGAACATACTGCAGTACTGCTTTTGCACATATTTTTGAAAAATGGAACTATGAAACTCGGTAATATAAAAATATTTATATATTACTCTAAGAACTTCTCATCAGATAATGGTTGACATACAGTCTTCTCAAAGGGCCATAAAAAGTAAGCTCTATTGAGTCTTCCTTGGCCATCTCTATTAATAAAACTTGTGAAAACTGAAAAGAAAATGGCTTTAATCTTGTATGGTGCAACATGTACTACCGCTGCAATGTTTTGTGTGAGGATTTGGATGGAGTATGGGTTTTACTTCTTCATAGCTTGGAAATTAGTACAAAATTCACCATGATGGTGGACAATTCAAATTATAGATATTGCAAGGAGTTCAAATTTAGATTGAGAATGTTTTGGAAAAAAACAAGAGAGTACCAGAAAGCTAAGTTTGGGAATTAACAAATCAAACATATCTCCCTGACTAGCAAAATGGGTATTATAAGCATAAAAGCAAAACAAAAATAATATTCATTATTTAGAGTAAACTTTATGACCCTAAACTTATACCTTGATGAAATTTACTTAATGTCTTGCATTATTCCAGATGTAACAAGAATAAAACAATCATATATGTGAAAATTTTTTTAATAAGTTTCGAGACCTCTGACCCCACTTTTTCAACTCCTCCTCAACTTGTATTGCTTCGATATTGATATATTATAAAGTACTAAATGATTATGTTTTTCTTTTAAAAAAAAGTTCACAAACTCAGAAGTATGGATTTGGCATTATAGTAAATGAGGAAATTCCAGTGTTTTTTACTTTTTTTCACTAGAAGATCCATTTATTCTTTTTAGAAATAAGATTGTAGAAAGCCAAAATATGTAAACTGAATCAAAATCCATACGAAATTATCTTTTATTACTGTGATCAAACACGCTGAAATAACTTTATAATACAGTCAGCTTATTTGAGCATGCAAAAATAATTTTTGTACACAACAATATGTAAACACCTACCATTTTGTTCTTGAAATTGGTGTCAAGCAATTCTACATTTCTAATGAAATAATGCAATAATGACTTTTGGTCATTGATCTTGCCAGTCTTCCTTCATTTCTTGATAACTTAATTTTCTTCACCATTAGGAACTTCTAATTATGTGACTTTGCAAATCGATTTAAAATTTTGTCAAATACAAAATTTACAAACTTGCAAAAGTTTAAGATGCAATATCTTAAAACGATTTAAGAACATATGTAAAACAGGCCAATACAAGTACATGATTGCAGGACAATTACATTACATGGAATACACAAATTTTCGGTACCAACAGTACACAAACACAGAAAGGAAATTAGTTAGGAATACCACAACCTGACCAAATGAAAACAACAACAACAACTAGGGTTATAATTTCTAAATTAATTTATACGATGTCATTTATCTCATCATGCATATCAAAATTAAAAATTTTTATATGCGTAGTTCTGACTAATTCATTCATTTATTTTTTATGTACTGCAACTTTAAAATAATAATTAGTTAGGATTACCACAACCTGGCAAAACGAAGCACAAAAAAAATAAAAATAAATAAAATAAAAAAATAACTAGGGTTATAATTTTTAAATTAATTTATATGATGTCATTTATCTCATCATGCATATCAAGATTAACAATTTTTATATGCATAGTTCTGACTAATTCATTCATTTATTTTTATGTACTGCAACCTTAAAATATAAATTACTGAATCATGTTACTAGTTTACAAGAAACAGTTATATGCACAATTTGCTTTCTATAACTGTTTTTTCACTTTGAGGCATTAAATTCACACTGTGCCACAGTACCAGCATAAAATATAAGTTATAAAGTAAATATACATAGGAAAAAAAACAAGATATTAATATGCCCGTATGAAACTCATCTCTGAAATTTCAGGGTATTTAATAATGCATATTAGAAATGAGAGTAAAATTGTACTTTCATTAATCCTCTTTTGTGTACAAAAAACAAAAACCCATCTTCTTCAATTTTTCTCCTCTTATTCACTATATTTTAACAATGACTGGTGGCTGCAAGTCCTATAATAGGCAAAATTCCAAATGATTTCCAAGCAACTAGAATTTTGTTTTTAGTTTGTAATAAAGTTAAAATAACATAGGAGGACTCAAGGGTGGAAATTTATTGATGCAGTTTCAATTATTTTAGATTCTGTCAAATAATGTGGTAGTTAAAATATGAAAATCAAAAATGCTTCTGTGGCCAACAATAAATGACTATATCAAGACCATGGTTTCTACCCAAAAATTTTTTATTACAAAACACAGTAGTTTTTATCATACAACGTTTAGAACAAGGCCCATAAAAATATATCGGAGAAAATAAATACAGCACATGATTTATGTGAGCTTACTCCTGATTTCTGAAATACTCATGGTCTCTGTTAAAATCAAATGATTTATATATTAAGAGCTACTGGTTTTTCAATTCCTATTTTTAAATCACAAGGTTTTACAATTAACGTAGCAAGCTCAAAATTTTAAAACCTGAATGGATAATATTTTATCTCTTGAAAGATGTCATGATAATATTAATTATGAAGTTTTATCGGAATAGTTGTTTCTTGGAATACTTCATTTTTCATCCTCTTCAAAACTAGGCATAAGTTCAGTTAATTTCTGAAAATAGTCTACTATGAGTGTGCAAGTCTGTTATGATGTATTGTTTTTATCTTTGTAGTGTCTAAACTCAGGCTTCAGTTCCCACATGTTCTTATGTGGGTTCTTGGCATTGTAATTACAGATTTCTTTCAAGATTTCTTTCAGATAAGGCTGTAAATATTCAAAAAAAATATTACACTTAAAAATAAATGAAATAAAATTAAAATTATAACATAATTGCCATCCACAAAAAAACAACAAAAACTGTGGAGTCTAATAGGTAAATATTAATATAAATATTACCAAAACTTCAAATTATATATAGAATAACTTGAAAAAATTGTAAACACCTGTAAGATGTATGTAAAAATATTTGAAAACACAATAAATATATATTTCCAATTCAACATACAGATCGAAGATGAAAATGAACATTATAGTATTTTATTATGAAAAAAAAACACATTGTAGTACAGCAAGATATTGTTTCAAACTCATAATGTTAGTTAATGACACACTACTATGTACAATTATCTACCAGCTATTTCTTTAACCTTTTCAACCAACTTGTATTAAATGCCCTTATGATTTTTTAAAGAAATATAACAATTTATTTATGATAAAAATATACTTTTCTTACAATTGGTTGCCTTGTAATTTTTTCCAAATCTTTGAGATTGTAATATTGGTGTTTCTCAAATGCAGCAAAAAGCATGTCCATAACCTTCTCTTTGTCTTCCCTGGATTTCTTGCCTTCAGCTTTTTTACGTTGTTCAAATTCTATCTGTTGTATTAATAAGACTTTTGAAATATAGGAAACACCATTATGTGGCAATATCACTGTAATTTTTTAATCACTCTCCCAATAATTAGTTATCTTTTCTGGCTATAAATAAAACTTATCACTAAATTATTTCCCACAACTTGAATAGGTCCTTAAATGGAAAAACTTTTATATTTAATTTATATTTTAACAAACAAAAATGCAATTTGTTTAAAATGTGTACTTCTTTAAAGTACTAAACTTAAATACTTTATTTCAATTTTATATGAAAGAAGGATATAAAATTAAGTATTAAACTTACATTGTTTTTGTGGTCAGATACAGGTTTAAAGTTTTGGACAATCTTAGCAATCTGCTTCACTGACCTTTGTGGCTGACTAGCCTGAAGAATTGACTGTCTGAAATATTTAATAATCTAGATTTAACGTTTGTATTCCTAAATACAATAACTCAAACACACTTTTAAAGGTCAGACCAAAATTTAGTCCAAATATGGCTACAAGGCCTCCAACTTTTGATGCTAGCTTTAGAATGATGTCTGTACCATTTTTCATAGGATAATAAATCAAATTATCAAAAATAAAAAATAATTTTTGTAAACAAAATGAAAAACTCATTATACTTCTTGTTACAATTTTTAGTATACATAAATTACAATTTAAATGGTTGGGTTTTTACAAAACAATGAAGCTTGTTCCATCACTTCACACAAAAAATGTTTTTCAAACAGTTTGTTAAATTTACAGAAATCAGGAATTTTTTTGTTTTTTCTTCTGGAATTATTAAGAGCACTTTCCCACTAAAATTTAAACCAAACTCAAAATGAGATTATATATATATATATATTATTTTTGGGGGGGCAACACAGACAGAAAAAAAAGAAAAAAAAGAAATAGGTAAACTGTATAATTTATAGGTTTCCTACACCAGCCATGTGAGCCAGACCAGCATCTTGATGTAGATAAAAAAAAAGAGAGCCATTCTGGAAAGATCTGGGTTGTTTTGATTAAACAAAAAGAAACACTTGGTACTATTTTTGAGGTTTATAACTCATTCCTTAAGTCCTTCCTAAAGTGAGCTTGAAATATCATAAAGAATAATTACTTATGAAAGTTAGAATGTTTACTAACTTTACATTCTAGGTTCTGTGCTGTGATAAGAAATTCAAGTTTACTTCATGTTAGTAAAACCAATGCTTGCTACTAAAATAAAAAGATTCTGCTTCTTATACCATTAATTTTACTTTTGTCCAATTCTATTAACTACACTTTATTTTCAAAAGAAAAATTAAGTTTCATTGAAATTAAGACTGCCTTTTTTTTAACCTTTTTTGTTTTTTCCCTTCTGTTTATTTTTTTATACAATTTTAGACATCCACATTTTGTTTCGTCAGTTTGTGTTTCACATTTTGATTTATCTTGAACAAACTAATACCAGCTGTTTTGGGATGAATGAAATGTTAACTTTTTAAACTTTGTACCATTTTGTTAATACAGAATTAAATATATGAGATTTGGTAAAAGCAAAAAAAAAAAAATTGAGTTTAATAGTTTAAACTTCATTACTGAATACTTTTAAAGGTAGAGTAAAATATGCAAAATTTGTAAAAAACAAAAATGTGATTTAGGTTTAGCAGATTAAACTTTATCAATAATTATTTGGGCTGATTAATGATGTATAGTCAGTTATTATCTTAATTTTAATTAAAATATTACTTTGTGATGTTAACTGGTGAAGTAGGTGCAGATAAAAATGGCAGTACAAAACAAGAGAGACTCGGACAACTATAATTGAAGGGAAAAAATTAATTGTTTAGCTCTGAAAAGTGACAACATGCAGCAAATTAAGAACCCACAGACTATAATTTTACATTCAGTATGTTGTTCTCCTGCAATACTTTAATGATCTTTATTAATAAATACACAAATAAAATTCTGATATATTTAGATTATCTGCAAATTAAGCAACAAAATGTACAGCATAAACTGAAACTAGGATATAAAAAAAGCTTGTTATTTGACAAAAACAAGCCTTGTTTTGTAGTTCTATGCTAAAACATATTTTTTGAAGTTAATAGAAATATCTCTTTGATAATATACCATATTTGACCAGATATAATGAGCACCCAATTTTGAAAGGTTAAATTGAAGAAAATTTGTTTTTTTACACATCAGTTGTACAAAATGTATTGAATAGTTTCTAAATAAAGTAAACAACTATTGATGTATTAAATATTTTGAAAATCTTTCATTGAAATTTTTTTTACGTGTGAATTTTACAAAATTTAGTGAAAAGTTTATGCGTGGTAATACACTGAGCTAACATTCATCTTTACATAAATCTTTGGATTTGCTTTCTTGAACCTTTGCTTCATCTTCTTCCGATTCCCACAGCATGTCATCATCCGTCCCATCTATTGCATTGGATATGCTACATTTTTTGAAACCTTTAATGATTCTTTATTGATTTTCGGTGGTAACTTCTAGTAAAATACCTAATAAAATTTAACATGTGCAAATATATATAATGTGCATTCAGTTTTTCAGGATGTATTTGGAGGGAAAAAAAATGTGCATTATATTTGAGCAAATATGGTAATATATAATAAGAAACACAAAATATGTACTACACAACAGAGTTAGAATACCACTAATAATTAGTTGACAGAATATGAACAAAAGTTTCAACAACATACCTCTTTAGCTGCATGTATTTTTCATTAACAATAGGCCTACATTCTCCTTTTTGAACCACATGGCCTTCTAATACAAGTTTCCCTATGAAAATAATACAAGCACATTTATCTATTGGGTGTAAAATCTATTGATAAAAATCAAAACTCTGGAAGATAGCTAAACAAATTGTTAATATTTGATAAAAAGTTTATGCAATTACAGTATTTAACTGAAATGCTTATCTTTCATTAAATCTATATCACGTTTCCTATCTGTTACAATATAACACTATTTACAGCAATATGAAAATACAGTATTTCTACATATTTCTTGTGAAAGTGAAATATCAATCTAATTGGAAGAGTGAAAATAAAAAACAATCATATTCCTTGTGTTTGTAGGCATTATGACTCTTATCTCTATACATTTGTTAATTCTTCAATATGCAAATGCATGTATAATAGTTTATTATTTTTGTAGAGTAGCAATTTCAATTCATATATTTCTGGACCTACACATCCCAAGTAGTCATTAACTTATACATTTAAATGTCCATTTCTGAAAACTACTGTTACAGGTTGCTAATAATGAATTTAGGAAATAGCAAGTACACACTAAGAACCAATTTCTGAAAGCCACTGCTACAGTCTACTAATACTTGCTTCACGAAACAGCAAGTATACACTTAAACATCAATTTCTGTAAACCACTGCTACAGTTTACTGATACTCAATTACTTAAACAGCAGAAACACATTTAAATGCCAATTTCTGTAAACCATTGTTACAGTTTACATCTGTAAATTACTTATACAGTTTATTAATATTCGATCCAGGTTGCAGCAAGTACACACTTAAAACTGATTTACATAAACTACTGTTACACTTTACTAATACTTGATTCAGGTAACAGTAAGTATGAGCAGGCAAATAACTTTGTCAGTATTAGTTCAAGCATGGAATGTGACAGTTAAAAAAAAGAAGAAAAAAAAAGCTTTTTTGTCTGATATCCTGTTTATTGTGTACTCAATTCTTGCATTACAGTGGTTTTTGTCATTATACAAATAACACATTGTAACGAATTTGTTGTTATGTATTTATTTTAATATCAACGTTTGTTTAGATTACATTTATATTTTAAAACATGCATAGCTTATAGTGTTAAATATGTATTGCGAAACTCCCGCTATTCTCCAAAGTTGTAGAAGATTCTCGAGAGTAAGAATCAACAATATATGTACATACATAAACATTTAAATATAGCTCAGTATTGTTTTGTAATCTGAATTTTCTAGAAAACCTTCCCACACCTATAAATACAACCAATGTGATGTGCCAAAAGAAGTGTCTATTTGTAGTTTGCTATAATCAGTGTGCTATAAATCAAGAGAATAAGTAACTATCTTACTATATTGACAATGGCTTGTCAAGATTGAGAATAAAATTGGAAGTAGCAATTTTCCAGTTGTTTAATCAAGCTCTACATATCAGTCTATTCTTATTATAAAATTTAGTGTATGTGATTTTCAATAACAAAAATTTAAGTATTTATGATATTTATGTTACATATTGTGAGGGCATAGCAGTATTTTAAGTTGAATAATCTCTACATGTAAGTTTAATAACCATGAACTTTAGATAAAGACACAGATTTCACATGCTGTTATATAAGAAGAAATGAGGAAAACTGATTTGGTTGTTTTGATGATTTCTGCAAATTAAATGTATTTTCATGAAACTTTCAGGATACTTAAAACATTTTGAAATATCACAGTAGAAACCACAGTCAATGTTCATTTATAATTTTAATGATAGGAAAAGTGGTTTTCATGCTATCATCATAACTATATACGTTCTAGCCTTGATGATTTCACAAAAACAGTCACAAGTAAAACATTAAAATTGGTAGTATTATATTCATGAATGCAATTATATAAGTACAATCTTGCTAAAGCCCATTGTTTGTGAACTACATGAACAACTAGAGCTAGAAGTTTTTATTTTCATAATAAATATTTCCTACGATTCTCATTATGAATAGCTATACAAAATATGAAGTGAACAAGCAAGAATTTATTGTAAAATGTACCTTATAATAAATATTGTACACCTTGGTTACATAGTCAGAAAACTATGTGGTGTTGATGATTTCTGCAAATTAGATTTATTTTCAAGAAACTTTCAAGATGATTAAAAGATTTTGAAATTTCACAGTATTCAATAAAATATAATTTTGGGGGCCAAACTATTGAGATGAATCTTCTCCTCAAAGTTGTCAAAGAAAAATTCTTACTTCAAAGTTTCAACATTATTAGAAAAACACAATATTGGCATTAAAATAGACAAGAAAAAAATAGCTCCACTGATTTTGGTCTCATGATTAAAAAACTTTAAATTTTATTCTTCTTCTGTAAATAATTTAAATATACCTCTACTATATATATATATTTTTGAGGACACACATGTATTATTTAATAGTGTAATTTTTGTTTTGAGAAAGTTTACATTATTTACATGAAATATCCTTACCATTACTTTCACCTTGTCCTAAGGTTGATTCCCCAGAATTGTCACCTGTCATTTTTGAAGAATTTTGCATTAATGATAGATTTAAAAGATGCTTAATAATCCATTAGGAATATTTGACATAATAAAAACACTTCTAATCATAATGATATTACAGAATAACTATGCAGATTCATCACTTATACTTAAATAGTGATGAACATAAGTGTCCAATTGAACATTTAGCAAAGATGATAAATTACCAAGGAGCTTATATGTATTACAAACTGGTTTGAATATCTCAAGGTTTTTCAAATTGTTTTAATTTCATTGCAAACCATTCTAATACAAGGCATTAACATTCCTATGTGTAATTCTCTACAAAGACAATTGGTATTCTAACTTTACTATTGCAAACTATTACCTAGTGAGCTAACTTTTAGTCAAGTAGGCATCAAAATCATCAATGATCTCAAATGCAAAATGTAATAATATGAGAAAGTATAATATACAGTAACATTCTGGAATACGTTTTGCATTATTTCTGTTACATTATCTGTTGACTATTTAATAAAACTAACATGCATCAAAAATATCAATATTCTTTAACTGAAAGTATGGTCTTTGAAAACTTCAATTAATTTTCTACAGTCAAACCAGCCAGTTATCTATCTTTTGGTGATAGAGTGTGGGATTGTTCATGATCTATGGTAAAGATATGCATAGTCAATCAATCACCTTGCTCCTAATCATTCCTATGGACTATAACTACACAGATTAAAAGCCCTCACCCTCTTGTTGCAATTCAATTGAAGCTTGGTGATTTCCAAGAGCAGATGACACCGAAAACTGCACTCTTCTGAAATCGCTTATTACAGGACTTTACTAGCTGATTGACTTTTATCAAGAATTATAGGAACTTTAAGTTACAGCAATGTTTACACCTACACCCCCCCCCCAAAAAAAAACACCACTTGTCTCTCCTTTATCACCTTTTCTTTTTTTTTGACATACTGTTTAAATTGTTAAAATTTTGAGGGGAAGCAAGAAGTTAATACACTTTATAAAGTATTCTGAAATAACATTTATTGATGATTAAGGTTAATGAGATTCAGGATAGAAATTGTTTCCAAGATGAAGTACTTTGCCTTTTGATTTCCAAAACTTACTAGAGTATAGTTTTTATTTTAAATTTAGGATATCCTGGTCAGATTCAAACCTGAAATAAATCAGAGCATTTAAATTAGAAGAATATTTTGCAAAAAATAAAATTTAAAAGAGAAAAAAAATTATTTTTTTAGGGGTTAGTTGCATCATGATCAGCTACATAAATATACAATTTTAATAAACATCACAAGACTAAGATGTAAAATGTTCCAACATTGTAAAATGACAAAATGTTAAAGAAGCTATTAGAAATGCACAAAGCTGTAATATGCCACATATTGGAAAAAACAGGTTATCTTAATTCTTTCAGCATGGCTTGACCACTGGAACCGAGCTCGTAACCATTTTGTGCTTGTTATAGTTTTCATGCTATAACTTTTAAATTAGTAAGCGAATGTTAATGAAATTTGGCAGATTATAAGTAAACATTACAATGCTTTCATATGCAAAATATGAATTTTTTATTAAGTCTTAAGGTTTGTAAAGCAATGTTTTTCTCATCTCTTTTTTTCTTTTTGCGTGTTGCCATTCTATTATGCAAAGTAATATTTATTTTAAGATAAAAAAAATTTTATGCATCTGAAAATTTTAAAATTTCACATGCAAAATCTTTATAATGTCCAGATAGTTATCAAACGTTTCTTAAGAAAAAAACATTACATTCCATCTGTTATTTTGATTAATTAATCTCTGTATGGGTTCAGTAGATTTGACCAATCTCTCAACCACCATCAAAAAGTAGGAAATAAATATAAATTATGCCTCTTTCATTCTAGAATGAACACAAATTATAACACAAAAACATATATGTTTAGACTAAATAGCTTAAATTTCATAATATTATATATTTATTATTTTTATTATATTGACATTTCAGCTGTGCCTGTTTAACAATACAGAAGTTACAATGACGTGGTTCACATGCACTCATGTTACCGTATCAAATAACATAAAACTGACCTTTGGTCTGTACAAAGTAACTTGTCTTGGCTGTGTAGTAGACTAGTATTTTATAAAATAGTCACATTTCAATTATTATACATTATATACGTATATAGATTATTGCTATTTGGAATTAATTTCTTAAACTTATTTTTCTTAAAACATAGAACAGTGACTGAAGAAGTAAAGCAAACAATTATCTCATAGTTATGCCCTTTGCACTCAGTTTCTGCTTGACATAGGTTGCTAAGCCTTTAAAAAATTTGCACATGGAGGATATGAAATAGAATATTTTTATATATACATTTGAATAACTAAAAGAATCATAAATTACTACATTAATACCATAGAATTCCACTATAATTTATCAAGCTTAGTAACTAAGATGTATTTTAGTCTAAAAAAATGTGAAATTTCGAGCAGACTAAAGACACACACCCTACCTCATTGAAATATTGACTTAGTACTTTGACTTCATAAAAATATAATTTGAAACAGTGATGCATTCGACATACCATGTGACACACAAAAATCGATGTTTATTTATGTTTTTTAATATTTGCTTTTAAATCAAGAAATTGAGTAATATATAGTTCTAAAATTTGAATTATTATCTGCAGTTTGATACCAAACTTAATGAAATAGTAGTTCAATAAAATTTTGAATGCAAATCAACAAACAAGATGACATAGACTTTCACCTGTGACCCGTCTTGAAAGGATTAATGCATGAAATACATTTTACCTACCTGCATTATGTCTGTGTTTACTATTTTCAAAAAGCATGTAAAAGAATTAAAATCCAAGGTAGTCAGTATATGTGGCAAGCAGAAGACTTATATTCTATTAAAATTTAATTTTTTATTATCCTTACCTCTGGGCTCAGAAAATACAGCTAAAACTTGATTAGGTATTGTGGAAACTGCAAACTGATGGTCTCTTGGAATTACAGTTTTGTCTCCTGTATCTTTCATATTGACTAAGTCTTCTGCCAACTTGAAAGTGATCTCTGGTTTCCCACCAGAACCTCTGAATTATAAATATATATTTACTTTTCCCTTTGGGAAATAAAACACGAGATTTCACATATTTCAGTTAGTCTAACAATAAATGTTTCCTTCTTTTTTTGTTTGATGTTTCTAATAAAAAAGTGCAATACTTTGAACCTTAAAAGGAATTACAATCACTTAATACAGAAACTAAAACTAGCTTTGCTCACTAGATGTATACATGAGATGTGAAGACCTGTTATAACCATATTTGAGTTTAAGAGTCTCTAATATCAAAACTGTCTACAAGTGTTTTGTGTACGATTCAAAATTCAGGTACTTTATGGAATATGAACTTACTTGGCAATTTTTAAGCGACCTACTTCAGTCAGTGACTCAGCTTTTTCCCACCTTGTTGATATATATTTTGGTACCTGAAAACATAAATAAAGAAGGAAAGATGGTATGATTAATTCTGACAAATATTACTGTATTTTCAATTTAGAAAACATCTATCATCCCACAGAACTGAAATATAATTTTCTTAACCACTTTAATATCAAAATCCTTTGTATTAAAGGAAAAGTTCAATGATTTCAAGTACTTTTTTATTATTTTTTTTGTGAGTCACTTTTCTGAACGAGTGGATTGTTTTAGTGGATTTTCTAAGATAAACTAAAGCAAAACATTTTAAATAGTATAGATATCACATTTAGCTTTCTCCATCATACTGATTCAAGACACTTCCAATATGACACCCACTAAAGTCCTCAAAATGTGACTGCATGTAATAATGGTGGATCTGTTGTTGCAGTAAAAATAGATAAAATAAATCAGTACACTTAAGATTTATTGTGATAAAATACCCGTAGAATATGACCCGTCTTCCAAATTATTTTGTAACCATGATGCCTGAAACACTTTAAACTGAAAATTAGGAGAGCGATAGGAATAAAGAACATCCCTACTGATTAATACAAGTTCTTAATTATAGTCATGAATATTCACTTTCCATATTTAAAAAAGAAACAGCATATGTATAAAAGTTAAATGTACAGTCAGCTTAATAACCAATGTGGAGTAAATATATGTTACCAGATCTCATACAGTTTAAGCTTCCAATGTGGAGTAACTATACTTACCAAATATTGCACAGTTTAAGCTATTATTTGTCACTGAGCTGAGAAACATATATTTGTTTAAGAATTTAAAAAAACCTTGTATTTTTAATATATACCAACTATAATTCTATTCTACATGAGATTTTATAAGGACGGTTTTAGATAAAGAATAAAAATAAGAATGACTTTTTTCCAGTCTTGACCTTTTCTTAATTACTCAAGTTACATTTGATAGCACTGCTTTCCTTTTGTATAAATATGTGTATTTATGGGAATAAGAAAAATGCTGTTCTTGAAGTCTGTTGAATGCATTTTTTGTTTCAAAATAAATCACATAAATTGTACATGTAATAAATTGATTTTTCTGCAGACTTTATTTTTGAAATTATTTGCAAGAACCTTCAGTGAAAGTTTATATTAACAAAAATAACTCAATTTTGTTAGGATATTTACATGCCAAAATCAGTACTTTATTAATTTAAGTATTCATAAATACTTCTAAACATCTACAACTCCATGCACTTTCAGCAAAATACAAACTTTTCTAACACTCACCTTTACAAGCCAGACACCTCTGGCTGCATTGGCACAATCAATCTCTTTCTCAACAACAGACATCTTCTTCTCTAAGGAAATGTAGTAAAAGGAAAAAAATAATTATGATAAAAACATATTTCACAATTTGGGAACTTACATTGTAACCTTTCTTAACTTCAACAAAACAATATTTGAATTCATCAATCTCACACCACAAAACTAGAGTATAATCTTACAGCTACAAAAAGAGTAAATTTTTCATTTATGTAAAACACCATTCACAACTTGTAAGATCCAATGCACTAGATTACCATAAGACTAACTGAATGTTGTATTAGTTACTAATACATGGGTGTGACATTTTTCAAAAACCTTCTTGTCCAATGAACAAACCGCTAGAAAAATAAACTTAACTATTTCCACAAGATAATCCTTCCAATCCTAGGTTCATCTTAGTAGTTCTCAACTGAACCCTTTCCAATAAATCAACATCCTATTTTCTTAGATTAAAAAACTAAAATTGGAAGCAATATTCCAAGTGAGGCCTTAAAAGTAATTTATATAAAAATAAAATTACCTCTTTTGACTTGTAACCAGGATGTCTATAAATAAATCCTAAAATGTTATTAACTTCACTACTACTAGCAACAGAGCACTACTTCAATGGTTTGAGTGACTTATTTTACCACTTTGCCAAGATCCTTTCCTTCAGTCACATTAATTACCAGCTACCAATTCATATTAAATGTTTGAGCCTATTAATCATATCCCAAAACATTACCTTGCATTTACTATAATTAAATACCAAAATGTCCAAAGTTAACAACTGGTTCAATTTTAATTGAACAAAGAGGTACACCCATAAAATATTACTTTAAAAATGTTTCTACACAAGTTTATAAATAGCTCCTGTTTCTCACAGTTTTTGAAAATAAAGAATAAAAAAATTATCTATTTCAAATAAATCAAATTTTACAGGGCAATACTATTTCTTCATCTCACCAAAAACTACTGCTTAGAATGCACAATTGTAATCATCACTTTCTAAAACTACAGTTGTATCTGTGAAGCCAAAGGGGTTTGGCAGTGCTGGTCTGCTGTCAAAGGATGATTTAAGTTTTTCATTAATATGCACCTTAAAAAATTTTTTAGAGTGGCCACCCGTTGCAGATTGTGAATTTTGCTTTAAAAGTCCTAAAATATTAAATTGTAGTGGATAATTTTGACCAGGATACAAAATTATGATGAACAATTGCATATTAATGAGGTGTCATCTTTTAGAGGATGTTTTCTTCTTTCATTTGATATATTACTCATACTTTTATCATAAACATGAACAGAGTTATAGCAGAAAAGGTATTTTTTAAATGTGATCTTTTTTTTTAACCATGGTTGACATGTAATCGGCCTTGCCCAGGCCGCCCTGTGTAAAATTTTTTACAGTATAGGTATTACTTGTATCATTTTGGGTGTTGCTTTGTTGATTGACAGCTTTTCAAAATACTGCACAAGAGTGCCATTTCCATGGTAATCCCACGACATACATTTTCTTCCAAAATTGTTAATATTTCAAATAATTCATTTAATGTTCATCGCAAGTGCACAAGTAATATATCAAATGAAAGAGAAAAATCCTCTAAAATGTAATAATATCAATGTGAGGAATTTGAACTAAAATTTTCATCGCAGTTTTCACAACTTTAAGATTGGTTGATGAAGATGGAGTGAGAGGAAGATAACTGATTGCATTAGCTTTGTGTTCTTGTACAGAATGCACTGTATCCTGGAATTTTCTCATCGATTTCAGCATTCATCAGGCCTGTAGGTGTCATTCTGGATAAACTCCACAGAAACAACAAACGTTTCCCTACTTGTCAACCAGTTGTCTTCAGAGAATCAAGGTTGGTAGTAGCTGAAAGTGACCTTGCTTGTTTTCTGTCAGTCTGCATTGTAAAATACTTTCTGTTGTGACTTCATCAATTGTTTGTTTTCTTAGTATGGTTTTCTTCAACTTCGTAGTACTGTCCAGGTTACTGTTGGGATGTTGGCTAGATTCTGGACATTGCAAGCTATTTAGTGTCCATCTTATACTGTTTGGTGGCTGTATGATCATTGGATTCCACTGGTTGGATCATTACGGAACTTGTGGTATGAAAGGTTGACCCATCCTTTCATGCCAGTTGATGTTATCGATAGTAAAAAGCATGCAAATTCCAGACCTCATGTTTGGGGGTAGGTAGATACCAGTTTCCTCAATCTTGTCAATGATACTGTTGAATGATGATGTCATAAGTCAATGAAGTGTGTCTCAGCTTATGCAGTGGTCTAAGCAATTCACTGTTGTTATCTGTGTCTTACTTCGTGTTTGATTGTATAGGTCCATTGCTATTCCAACACTAAGTAGGCTTTCTATTCCACGTACACTGTACAGAATTTATTGCAACAGGCACAGGGCTTTATTGTTTATGTCAACCAATATACCTTTGTTCAAATATTTATTTTTGTCGGACAGAAGTTTGCATGCAGATCAATATATCCTCTCACAAACAAGATTTTTTACTGCGTAGGAAGATACATCTAACAACTCATCTAATGTTTGTTCATGCAATGATTTACTAACTTTGTGCTGTCCCTTAACAAGTGAGCTGCTTTTGTGATATCATAGTTGTTATTGGTGTAAACTACTTCTTCATTTTTGTCAACATCTTCTCACCATTTGTGAGTGAAGATGAACAAACAATGTCTGATGAATACATTGTGCGAAGGAGAAACACAACATCACTCCCATAATGGTTTGCTAAATGGTTCTTTAAGTGATGCAACTGGTAAGATTCCCAATTGGATTCTCCATTGTTTTGAAGTAGTGTTCGGTATTTATATCTGATCGTAAATAACAGGAGTACAGATAAGTTATTGAGCAGTAATTCTGTTATTTCCTCAACAAGTGTGTTGAAGGCTACATTATAAATGTCACTTGGTTCAGTAGATAAGATTGCCATATAACACTTGGCCATATATCACTTCATGCAAACCCCGTAATAGCATACATCCTTTGCAACCATATCTAATGTTTCATCTCTGAATACTTTGATAGGCTGTAACAAATCCTCATCTCCAAGTTCTTTGGCTTTTATCTGTAAAAACTGCTGTCTATTTTCTGTCTCTACCAAGGAGATGGGACCCTTCCCATGAACATCATAAACTATAGTAAATTACACACTGTTTCTTGCTATCATATTTTGGAATTACAGAATGATGCGTTTGTTTGGGTGTTTGATTCTCATCGCCTGCGTCTTCTTGTGAGGCTTGTGTATTTTGTATCTTTCTCTGTATCCATTCCTATGTTATCTTTAACAAGTAACTGTTTCTACAATTTGGATGCCATACTAATTTTTTATCTACTAGAAATGAATCTTTTTCTAAATTGTTTTTTTATCTGTTTCCAGGTATTATCTTGTATGCCATTTGCTGCAATTCTGAGTGTACATAATGCCTTATCCATAACACTGTATAGTTTTCCTGCCTGCTTCTGACATATGATAGGCTTTGTACAGTCTAGGGTTTAGCATCTTTTTCTTTTTGTACCAGAGGTGCTAGGCTGCACACCTGCGACAGGTCCAGAATTTTATTCCTTTATCATTACAGACCTGAATATAAAACAGTCCATAAATGATGACAATTTTGCTTCATGACGTCTACTTAACTCGCATGTTTATTGAATGTTAAGCACTTAAGTTTACAACATAACGTGTTTATTAAAAACATTAAGGTGATACTTTCTAAAAATCATAATCACTGTTATCTTCTTATCTTTATCCTGTAGTGACATTTCAGTATTCTGAATTCCTCCTCATAATTATTGGTTGTGCATGTAAAATGACCACAAATAATCTGTTGTGATGACCAGAGATGATAATATGCTGACATTAGCATCACTAAGACAATGGAAAGAGTTATCATTCTCAAAGTTTATCTAGGGAATTTTTGAGCTGACATAATACATAATATTCAAAGACAATAAGCAACACATATGAAATGCTATGACAATTTGGGTAATAAATCATGATTATTTGTACAGGATTTACAAGAACATAACATTATAACCAACTTGTCACTTGATGGTTACCATGGAAATGACACTCTTGTGCAGTATTTTGAAAAGCTGTCAACAAACCAACATCCCAAAAGAAGATAAGCAATGCCTATACTGTATAAGTGAATATTTGCTTTAAAAGTCCTAAAATATTAAATACCGGTGAAGAATTTACTACAATTCAAAATTCATGAAAATTTGAATATTAACAAGATGTCATGAATATGTAAACGAGCTAATTTGAATATTGATAGTGTCATCTTTTAGAGAACATTTCCTCTTTTATTTGATATATTATTCATACTTTTATGATAAATATAAACATAGTTGTAGCAGAAAAGGTATTTTTGGAAACTTATCTATTTTTAACCACAAATGCTATGAAAATGGCCCTCCCCAAGCTCCCCTGTGTAAATCTGCAAGGGATGGCCATCCTAAAACATTTTCTTAAGGTAAATACCAATGAGAAAATGGCACCATCCATTGACAGCAGACTGGCACTATATAAACCCCAAAAGGTGCTCTTGACTCCCTGTGTATTGATTATTTTCTTACTATTCAAATCAGGTGGCTAACATACATATATATATATCAAATACCTTATCCTCTATTCCACCTCACACATTAGATATCTTAGCACTATATAATGCACATTACTGAACAAAGTGCTTGATTTTAAAATGTATACTTTTGTTTTCAATGATATAAGTAAATTACATCTCTAATAATCATTGCAAAATTATTTATCACATTTACTGCTTATGTCTTTTCCTTTTGGCAGGAACTTTATGCAATTAAATATACATTAGACAGTTGTGAGGGCATGAACTTTGTTTACAGGTGTTACAGGATGGAGGTTGAAAGTAGTGTTGATTAGAGTTAATGATGTTCAGAAAGAGAAGTACAAATTGTGGGAAACACCAACAGAGCTTAGAGAAACTTAACTTTTGGAAGGGTTGCAATAGATAAGCAGGGATTTCGGGAGAAGATAAAAGG